CTTGCATCTCCCCAGCGCTTATCACGACAATGAACAAGTTATGGTAGGAAATGGTCAAGCAACAGTCATAGTCCACACAGGTTCAACTACGCTTCCATTTTCTACCTGTAAGATCCAACTCTCTTCTCTCTACCATGTACCTCATCTCACTCACAACCTCCTCTATGTTCAGAAACTCGCACAAGACAACAATTGCGTACTTTCGTTTGATGCATCTCATTAGTACATACATGATCAGGCTACACAGAAGATCCTACTGGCAGGCCCAACAAAGCAGGGTTTCTACACACTCAAAGATCTCAACATTTCCATCTCCCAACCCAATTGGCATCATCTACTCGAACACCCTCATTAGTCAGTCCTCACACAAATCTCTTGCATTGCTCTACTTATTAACTTTATAAACAACGAGTCACCTTGTTCTTCATGTGTGCAAAACAAGAGTCAAAGTTTAGTCTTTCCGCATAGTAATACTAATTACAATATTTTAGAACTTATTCACTCTGATCTATGGGGTCTCTTTCTGGTTCCCTCTATTAATGGATACATATACTATATATCTTTTCGATGCCCATTCTCGCTACTGTTGGATCTTTCCAATGCATAGCAAATCAGATACACCACACCATTTTACTCATCTAAATAAATTCATCTACTATCATTTTAATAAAAAAAAAAGAAAAACTTTAGAAGTGATGGTGGTGGTGAATACACTTCACACCATTTTCAAATTTATTTAAAACTCAATGAAATCAGACATCAAATTTTCTGTCTTTATACATCAAAGCAAAATGGCCTTTTCCAAAGGAAACACCGACACATCATAGAGACATCAAGAACACTCTTAAACTCTGCACGCTTACCACCACAATTCTGGTTGGAAGCAGTACTAACAGATGTTTACCTCATTAACACTATTACTTCCACAATAACCAACAATAAATCACCTCATGAATTAATCTACCAATAACTACCACAATATGATCACCTTGAAGCCTTTAACCGTGCTTGCTTTCCATGGCAACAAACCTCAGACACACTAAGTTTGAGCCCAAGGCACAACTTTGTGTTTTTCTCAGTTGCAACCCTCATTACAAGGGATACAAATGTTGGGGCATTCACAAACTATGCCTCATACATTCCAGGCATCTCACATTTATTGAAACACAATTCCTCTATCAGACACTTCAACCTTCCCCACCCTCTCTGGTCACCCTAACAAAATCTCACACCACTCAACAACACTCACCAACACCCTTTCCTTCTCTTCAACCTTCACACAAGCACTCTAACCAACAACATAAATAACCTAACAAAACACCGCTAGCAGTCCCCTAACTTTTCAACCTACTCAACATAAAACACACCTCATGACCACACGTCTCCAGACTCGATCCCTCAAATCTCAGCACATAGTCAATCTACACAACACCATATTCTCCCCAAACCCAACCTCCTACTTAGAGGCCAACAAGTTTCCTCACTGGCTTCAAGCCTTATCACTTGACTTCATGGCCCTTCAACATCAGGGCACCTAGACTTTAGTCTCACCTCCAAAGAATCATACAATCCTCGACATCAAATGGACGTGCTAAACATAGTTTCACTCTAGCGGAATTATCGGCCAACATAAAGCTTTCTTAGTGGCACAAGGATGTTCACAACAGTAAGGCGTTAACTACCACAAGACCTTTAGTCCGATAACAAAGTTGCCCACTGTACATATGCTATTATCATTAGCAACTGCAAATAAATGAGATGTTCAACATCTTTATATGTCAACTACTTTCCTCCATGGAAAATTAGAGGATACGGTCTACATGGCACAACCATCTAGATTCAAAGACTCATGACACGCAGACTTCGTATGTAAGCTTAACAAAACCATTTATGAAGTAAAACAGGCCCCTGACAATGATATTCCACCTTATGCCACTATCTTTATAGTCTGTACTTCACAATGAGCACAATGGATCACTCCTTACTCATCTACACAAAAAATAACATTAAAATATTCGTCATATACGTTGATGACATTCTTATCGTCGGTAATTCACCCACCTTCATAAATAGACTCCTACTCAAACTAAGTAACCAATTTCAAATCAAACAGCTGGGCTCAATCTCACAATTCCTAGGACTTCAAATTCATCACACAATGAATGACTACTTTGTTGAATAAAGCAAATATCTCGACATCCTCCACAACAAAAGCATGGTCGAGTCAAAACCAGTCCTCACACCACTCTCCTCCTCACTAAAACCACAAAATCCACCAACCCTCTTGTTGATGCAAACACCTTTAAACAAACCATTGGCTCCCTACAACATCTAAATGTCACAAGAGCAGACATCACGTGCACCGTAAATTACCTCAGCCAACATATGCACAACTAACAACCACAACGCACCCAACTTCTAATTTGATTGTTGAGATACCTCAATGGCACAAGGAATCATGATATACTTATTATTGTAGGGGACCTAGAACTTCAAGCTTATAAAGACACTGACTAGGCTATAAATCCTGATAATAAATGCTCGGTTAAAAACTTTTACATTTTTCTTGGTTCGAACCTAGTCTCCCGGTCAGCCAAAAAACAACCTACCGTAGCCTGTGCCTCCATAGAAGCAGAATAAAGGGAAATGACTTCAGTCACCACATATATTCTCTGGCTTAGAAAACTACTACATGAAATGCTCTAACAAAAGCTTTCCCCCACTCCTCTCTTAGTAACAACACCTCAGCCATCACCCTAGCACACAACCCAATTTTTCACATAAGGATGAAGCACATAGAGATAGACTATCACTTTACCTTCTTCTAGCGAACGAATTGCTCCATGCATCACTAGCCAACTATTCTTATACAAGCCTTTCCCACCATTCATTAGTATTGTATCACGAGGCTGCTCCCTCCCACAGGAGTACCTCTATATAAAGCAATGTTTGAAGCTAGGTTAAGGAGGAAGTGGGAAGAAGGGTTTGTAGGGAGAAAGAATGGAATAATGTAAAAAGGTGTGGCGAACGTATCTGGGTAGCTACGTTTTACTTTATGCTTTAATAAAGTCTCTTTTTATTGTTTTAAGAGAATGCAATCAACAAGCCTTTGAGATTGTCATCTTCTTCCTCACTATCTAGATCTAGATAAATAAGATATCTAAATAGAAATCTAAATTCAATTCTATATTCATATATATGAAATATGAAAAGAAAATATAAATGAAATTATAATTCAAAATGAAGAAAAAAAGAAGAAGAATGAATATCGACCTTTCCACTAGTAGAGATTTTAAACCATGTAAATAAAAAAATAGATAAAAAAAAAGAGCCGGCTATCAGAATCGAACCGATGACCATCGCATTAAAAGCACAGAAATAGCAGTCCACTCTTCTTTGTTATCTTCGTCGTTAATTCTCTCATCGGGGAACATGAGAATACATAAAAATATAAGTTTAGATGTGAAATATGTAGTAAATATGTGGTTTTGAGTGCTATGTATGTAAAAACCCCATAAGAAAAAAAATCAAGCATGAGCTACTTAAGCTTATGATTATTTAATTCTTCAAAGTTCATTACAAAATAAAGGCTATTGTGTACATATATGTATATTAGCAACACAAAATTATATCCTAATGAGCTTGAGGGTCTAGATGTTAGATATGTAAACATATAAGAATTGTTGTCTGCATGTAAATGTCACTGATTGGATGCGATGGACTAGCTATGTCCAGGCTTGGGACTACAACTATTTACTTATTTGTTTATTTATTTATAATATCAAAATGTTATAAATATAAATATGAAACTTACGGGTGTTGTGTATGTAAAAATATAAGAATTGTGTGGTATTTCTGTAATTCCACCATTTTTTTTATTATGTTTGTCATAATAACAGAAAATCTGGCGTCAATCCTTCGCGAAAAAAAAAACTCAAATAAAACCAATTTCTCGCATAGGTTTATAAAACCAAAAGGTTAAAAATGTAAATATAAAGCTTTAAGTGTTGGAAATGTAAATAAAGAAGAATTATGGGGTACGCAAGTAAAATTTCCCTTATTTGTTTGGGGCATTTAGATACATAACACCCAATTCCAATGTATTTACATATTAACACCTAAATTTTGATTATTACACTTATTGCCCCCAATCGCCTTTTACACTTATACAACCCAAATCTTTCATATCACATAGAAGATACCACCATTTAATTTTCAAGTAAGGTGGCCATATATGTAAACATTGAAGTTTAGGGGTTAGAGCTGTAAATACATAAGAATTGAAGGGTATGCGAAGAAGCAATGGTTCTATGATTTTCTTTTTACAAACCAATTAACAAGGAAATGTGGTCAGAGTAACTCATCATATTTTTAAGTATCAAGAGAAAATAAAAATATGAAGTATTTACAAAAATACCACACAATTCTTATATTTTTATATTCACAAAAATGGCCTTATAAACTTATCTATGAATAGCTGTATTTCACTATTAAAAGTGAAAAAAAAAGTAACTGTTCTTTCCTATTTTAAAATGATATTATTTATTTATATAGCTCGGGATTAAATCAATAATATTATTTTATATAAAATAGAGAACTAAAAGCTCTCTAAGAATCAGATAAATACATTAATATAATTTAATTTTGACATATTTTTCTGCAATTATAATTTTCAAAAAATCAAATTGGATTTTGTTAATTCGTTATGATCCACTGGCTCCAAAACGAGAAGGCAGTTCTCGGCTCCCCTTTTTTTAGCAATAAAAATAAAAATAAATAATTAAATAGATAAAAAAAGATGGGCTGGTCAAAGAAGACCCTTCTTCGCTAACAGTTTGTAGCTAAGTTTGGCAAGCCACATGGCATAATCAAAACCGTGCAATCGAGTAATATGCACCTATGCTCACGACACCTGCAGTAAGCTCTGCTGTTCATGACCTCCTACTTTTCGCCTTATAAACTTGCTTCCAAGCATGGATTTTGCCGCGCCCACAAAAGAAAGAAGCTCCATTGCTGAGGAAAGCAGAGCGAAAAAGTAGAGGATCGATCCAAGATTGCTTCTTTTCAGATCCAGAATACAAGATCAGTTCAGCAGCATTAATCCGGAGGATCACAAGGCGTAATCCTGACACGGCACTTTGTGTTCTCGATTCTCTTATATTCTGATTCCTAACCTCTCCAATTTTTAATCATTCATTCTGTTTGTTTCTATGGAGAAGCACATTTGTCGAATATGCAGGCAAGGCTTCTCCGATGGGAGATCTCTTGAAGTTCACTTGTGGTCTCATGTTGTGCTGAGCCCTTCCATGAAGGATGAAGACAAGCCGTTGGGTGGACATGACCTTAGAATCAACCCAAAGAAGTCGCATCGGTTTGAGATAGAGTGGCCGGAGACTATTAAGGATAAGAAACGTGCCAAGCTAGAGAAGGATTCCTCTTCATTGAATGCTTCGTTTGGAATGACCAGGGAAGAGCTCATTCATGGGGACAACGATGATGATTTACGGAGCAGGGGAACTTACGAAGAGAAGGAAATGCCGGGCCAACCTTATAGTAAGTTGAGTATGTATTCAATGCCGGTGAAGAAGAAGAGGACGGGGAGTGCACCAAAGGTTGCGAATGCATCAGTTTTTGATTTCTCCTTCGAGAACTGCGAGGAGGAAGTGAATGCTGCTCTGTCCCTGATGATGCTCGCAAGAGAACATGCTAATTTGATATATGATTCAAATGATAAGTTTTGTCTTACAATTGGATCTGGAAACAAAGTTCATTCTTTTCCTTGTGAGGATGGAGATCAACAGTCCAAAAAGCTGAAGGTCTCATTTTTTGCAAGTAGCAGTGATTATGGTGATATCAATCCTGCTGTTCTTAAAAATGAAAAGAGGAGTTTATCAATTCAATGTGATTCTGAATCTGGAAAGCAGAGTTCTTGCAATAGAAAAAGATATGGGTGCAACATCTGCAACAAGAGCTTTGATTCATATCAAGCTCTTGGCGGCCACCGCACAAGCCACAATAAGGTGAGAGGAGAATCTAAAAGATTGATTAATCATAATAAGGATTCTCAAACTGTTAAAAAATCACCGAAGAACTTTGGAAACCACGTGTGCAACATCTGTGCCAAGAATTTTTCATCTGGGCAAGCTTTAGGTGGTCACAAAAGATCACATTCTATTGCGGCAGATAAGTCCGCTGCTGCTGTTGTTGTTTCTAGTGCCAATAATAATGCCGCTCATCCTCATCCAGCCCCAATGGAGATAGAACACAAATATTTGAAGTTGGATTCGGTTGATCTCAACTTGCCTGCAACTCAAAATAAGTCTTAGGAAATTTCTAATGAAGTATTGGCCGGTTTGAGGTATCGGACATTCTCTGGTGAAGTGTCATTCTGACAATCTCTATGGTGAAATGATGAGTAAGAGTGCAAATAAAAAAAAAAAAGTGGATTGATCCCGAAAGCTTAGAGATTTTGAAGGAAATTCTTCTTATCATTATTACCACCAAAGAAGAAACTTTTTTTTTTTTTTCTAATTTTTCATAAAAATAAAGTTCTCGGATTAATGAGAATCTGAAGTCTAAATTTGAAGTAATTTAAATGATAATTTAATTTTTTATTTTAGGGGTGAGAGATTGGAAAATAAGAGATTTGTTGTGAATGCTAATGACAGAAGTCTCGCAACAACTAATTTGGGAGAATTTGGTGGCGGAACGTAGAAACAATTGTGTGGTTGATTGTGCTAAATATGAGCATATATTAATGCCTCATATCCTTCAATTGTATGCTTCTAATGGATTCTTCCCAGTTGCTGATTACACATTGGCACATCAAAGCCCTTCAATTTTCCTCTGTCAATCCATGTGGGTAATTATATAAAAGAGTGTTTTATAAATAAATAGTGCTGACTTATTGTCTAAGATTGTAATCATGATAATTTTATTAATTTCATGAATGAATTAAGTTTTATTCTTGTATTTTTAATTCTTTATCCAAATTTATGATATTTTAATTTCATATTATTGTTTACTTTGTAATTGATAATTGTTATGGCGTTTTCAGAATTTCAAGTGACATGTTATTCTATTTGACTTCACCTGTTCCTGAGTTTTTAATGCATGCCAAAGTTCATATTGCATTTTTCTTTTTCATTGATTTTTTATGTTCAATTTAAAAAATTGTTAATTTTTATTTTATTTTTAAATCATTCGAATTAATTTCATGCTCAACTTGAGTTAAAAACTAATAAATGAATTTGAATGAGTTGCAGACAAAAACAGTATTCTTCGCAATTTTGAACATGAGAATATTTGAGAAAAAATTATCAAACTAGCACAATACAAATAAATATTGGGTTCACACTAATTTTGTTCTTTTACACTTGTAGTTGTGGAGGTAATGTACATCGCGAATGCACCAACACTTTTCTCAAGGAGATCCAACAATCAATGTGACAAAAAAGTACTAAGGAAGGCCTCCCAACAAAAAACTAAGGGGCCCAATTATCCAAACTGATACGCCACTAACAAATTTTCATCATCCGACACGAATCTAGGTGTAATTTTTTGAACAAGAAATATTCAAACTTCGATTAAATATTCAAACTTCGATTAAGAGTCTAAGAGTCATCCAGAGCTCAGATTTCAGCAAACTTATAGTCAAACTGATCGGCTCGATGAGATGGACCTAATGATATGAAAGTCAGTCCAATTCAAGTCAAATCAAGTCCGAATCAAATCATTAAACCACTATTGTAGGATTTCCGGAGGCATTTTAAAGGTCAAAGAAATGTCGAATCTAGTGAGTTTATTGTCATATCGAGCGTCTCGACAAGACGAATCCAACGAGCCCAAGATTGCTCAATTCCGACATCGTTAAGGCACTCAAATGTCCATCAAATGTCATCTGATCAAAAGAAGCTCTCCGGACCATTCGATCAAAATGGTTCATATTTCCTGCTTTAATTGCACTCAAAACACTATAAATAGAACCTCACCCCTCACATGAAAGGGGAGATTTAAGAGAGAACTTGAGGCTTTGAGAAGGAGCTCAAGTTCAAGATCTTCCTCGCCATCGTCGATCGTCGTCGACCACCACCGCCAGCCCGCCGCCCCCCCCCGCCAGCCACAGTTGATCGCCGCTGATCACCGCTCACATCCGCCGACCACCGCCAAACGTCACCGATTGTCGTTGTCTCTGTTTTTCTCGTCGATCACCGCCGACCTCCGTCAACCACTGCTAACTGGACGTTGTCAGTCGATGTTGTACCTTAGAAAGCTAGTAACCTTTTCCCGCCTGTGGGACAAGGGGCATCTGTAATCATCAACTTATAGTGGATTTTTACAACTGGGTCAGACCACGTGGTTTCTCCCCTTTACGGGTTTTCCACGTAAAAACTTTTGGTGTCATCACAACTTGATTCATTTTCATCTGAGTGTGTGTTGAATCCTCGCGCAACGCTAAGACGATAATCCATTACTCTGCCGCCGCAAATTTTCTAGCACGCATCACAATCGGTCATTATAGTCCAAAAAAATGTCAAATCCAAAGCCGACTGGACATGGTCATTGAAGCTAGAGTCCTTAAGATGAATGCTTTTGGATGACCCGAGTTTGAACCTAATGGAAAACTGAAGTCCTCAATACCATTAGACATCTTACGAAGACCATAGAGGCTCCTTATCATGGACCAAAATGTAACCATGCATTTAAATCATCTATTCGGCTTTTCATGTGGATGAGTAAGCTACCTATCGGATTATGATGATTCATATTTTGCCCAATAGCCTAACATCGCTTAACTAATGAGAGCACCTTACTTGAGATTGACAACCTATAGTCACACTAAAACACCCCCAGCCTGGCTGACCTCGAGACTATAAAAAACCATCCGACAACCCCAATTCAACATAGTTGAAAGAGAAATACTTGTCGAACCAAAGCCTAATGCGTTCAGCCGATCGAGTTAGATGATGGTCAGGCAATAGACCAATACAAGTAAAACACCTATAATATTATGTTATGCTCCTCTTAAAGTAGAGACAAACATGTAACTTCATATATTGTATCCCGTTCTCTATAAATAAAAAATTATTTTTATGAGAAAATTGCTAATAAAAATAAGTTCTACTATTTATTACCACACACACTCTCTCTCTCCCTCAATTTGTTCATGCCTAGAGTGGATATTATCCTCCGTTTGTTCATGTCTAGAATGAATAATTGAATTTGATATTTTACTTGGTTTGTTCATGCCTTGATCAGGTTGCATGAAGCACATGGGCTTTAGGTTATCTACAACAATATTATCTTTGATTGGGAATGCATTTATTTTAAGTATTTGTAGGATATCAATGCTTGCAGTGATGGACCAAAAGCAAAACTGCTTTATTGAAGGTTTTTTGGACATTTATGTCGAGCAAATGTTCAAGGGCGGAACTGATATTTCAGGAGGGGCAAAGGAGCAAATTGACCTCCCATATAAGCAAAAAAATGAATTTGAGGTGCGGCAATTGCTTTCATATAGTAGAATACCGCACGCATGAATTCTGGACAGATCATTGATTGCCTAGAGTGGCAATCAAATTCACTCTAGTGAAGATGAATTTGATTCCCTGCCCCAGCATAAATGTTTTACACTAATCATAAATTCTAATGAAATCACATTTATATTCTTAAGCAATATTACAACATTGTCTTGTAATTCTATTATAAATATGTATGTATCTGCATTTCCTCCTCTGTTTCCCATCAAGATTTCTTCAGAGTTTCTTTTTCCTTCCTTTCTCCCTTCTAGTGTTGTGCTGAGCCCTCCCATGAAGGATGACGAGAACTGCAACGATGCAGTGAAAGGTGCTCTGTGCCCGTTGTTGCTCTCAAGAGATAGAAGCTAATTCTTGCAACAGAAGAATGTATCTGCAATATGAGCTTCAATTCATATCCAGCTCCATGATAAGATGAGATTTTACACATGTAACCTCAAAACATTCATATTTTCTTGAACAGGTTTATAAATATAGAACTTTGGGTGTTAGATATGTAAATTAAAAATTGTGTGGTGTGTATCGGTATGTAAATTTTCCAAAAGAAAAAAACAATTTACAGTTTTGAGGTTCAAGGATCAGTTTTGTTTCATTGCAAGTGTTAAGAGCGAAGAAAAGATTTGATCTGCTTGAAGTGGGTTCAGAAGTGTTTTAAGAAACAATTTTGAAGGATGAGAGGTTGACTTCAATTTATTTATTTAATAATAATAATAATAGATTATTCAAATGAGTTGGAATATTATTTTATTTGTTAAAAAGATAAAATAATGAAATTTTAATGTATATATCGATCAGTTCAAATAAAATTAAATGCAACCCAAATAAATTTTGGAACTGAATTCACGAGAAAAGAAAAAAGATATTTTTAAAATAATAGAAAACATTTGGTGGAGCAAATGCACCACAGTCTTCAAATAAAATCACAGTAATATATATATATATATATATATATATGCATGCATGTATGTGTGTGAAAGCATCAGCTGATATATATATATATATTACAATGTATGTAACACAGATTATGCTAGGATAATAAAATAACTTTCTTGTTTTGTTTTCTTTGTTTATTTGTTGGATCATGGTATTAGGACAGTAACTTCCTGCCACCTTCAAGAACTCATGGATTCTTCCTCTTCAATCTCTCCTCACTTCACCATCTCTTCTCAAGAATCCCTAAACAAAATGAAGGATACTCATATTCTACCACCTCTCAAGTTTTTGATGAAGAACATCAAAAGCATGACAAAAAATCCTTTTATTCATGAAAACTATGTTGTTTGGAAGGTTCTGGTTCACAAACTTTTTCTTGTCTATGGGTTTGGACCATTTATTAACCCCACTATTCTTCCTCCCCCACAAATCTAGATTCCATATGTACAATCACATCCAATTTTGATTGTAACTTATGGAGATTAATATATCAGAATCTTGTTGCTAGCTTATTCTCTATTATCTCACCCTATACCCTTCCTTATATTTTGCACTTAACAAACACTTGATATATTTACTACTCTTGAAATACGATTACAGTGCTCGAATTGTTCACGAGTTATCCAACTAAAACATGAATTACATAATGTTCATATGGGCGCAAAAAATGACTCAATACATTACCTCCATCAAAACTATGATTGATAATGTAGCTGCGACAGGCTCAAAGATTGATAATGAGGACATTATCATTATATTATGAATGGTTTACCGTAACTCTATCAAGCTTTCAAAACTTTAAGCCTTGAATATTTTTACTCCTTATTTTACATTAGAAAATTAATCTATCAAATGAAGCTCTTAAAGCCACTCATACCACCACACTATTTTCTTTTATAAACATGAATAACTTCTCTAAAAACAACTTCCCTCTTATAAATTCTTAGCAATCCATCAAATCTGTCATGTTTAATAGCAGTATCGCTAAAAAATCCACAATTATATGTCAAATAGGTCACAATAAGGGACATTCACATGATCAATGTTGGCATCGGCAAAAGCCAACAATAGACAATATCACTTCTGCTCTAAATTTTTCCACTACAAACAAGAATCAAGATTGGGTTGAGCTTGAAATTAATTTGAATGATTTAAAAATGAAAAAAAATAATAACAATTTTTTAAATAGAACATAAAAAATCATTGAAAAAGAAAAACGCAATATGAACTTTAGCATGCATGAAAAACTTAAAACAGGGGAAGTCAAATAGAATAAAATGTCACTTGAACTTCTGAAAACGCCATAACAATTAACAATTACAAAGTAAACAATAATATGAAATTAAAATATCATAAATTTGGATAAAGAACTAAAAATACAAGAATAAAACTGAATTCATTCATGAAATTAATTAAATTATCTTGATTACAATCTTAGACAATAAGTCAGCAATATTTATTTATAAAACACTCTTTTACATAATGACTCACATGGATTGACAAAGGAAAATTGAAGGGCTTTGATGTGCCAATGTGTAATCAGCAACTGGGAAGAATCCATAAGAAGCATACGGTTGAAGGATATGAGGCATCAATATATGCTCATATTTAGCACAATCAACCATACAATTGTTTCTACGTTCCGCATCCAAATTCTCCCAAATTAGTTGTTGCGAGCCTTCTGTCATTAGCATTCATAGCAAATGTTCTTGTTTTCCAATCTCTCATCCCTAAAATAAAAAATTAAATTATCATTTATATTACTTCAAAATTGTACTTCAGATTCTCATTAATTCGAGAACTTTATTTTTATGAAAAATTAAAAAAAAAAAAAGATTTCTTCACTGGAGGTGATGGTGATAAGAAGAATTTCCTTCAAATTGTCTAAGCTTTCGGGATCAATCCTGCTTTTTTTTTTTTGCACTCTCATTCTCCATTTCACCATAGATTGACAGAATGACGTTTCACCAGAGATTGTCCCATACCTCAAACCGGCCAACACTTCATTAGAAATTTCCTAAGAGTCATTATCAGTTGCAGGCAAGTTGAGATCAATTGAATTGGGTTCTACCTCCATTGGGGTTGGATGAGGATGAGCGGCGGTATTATCGGCACTAGAAACAACAACAGCTGCTGCTGCAATAGAATGTGATCTTTTGTGACCGCCTAAAGCTTGCCCAGATGGAAAATTTTTGGCACAGATGTTGCACACGTGGTTTCCAAAGTTCTTCGGTAATTTTTTAACAGTTTGAGAATCATGATTCTGATTAATCAATTTTTTAAATTCTCCTCTCACCTTACTGTGGCTTGTGCGGTGGCCGCCAAGAGCTTGATATGAATCAAAGCTCTTGTTGCAGATGTTGCACCCATATCTTTTTCTATTGCAAGAACTCTGCTTTCCAGATTCAGAATCACATTGAATTGATAAACTCCTCTTTTCATTTTTAAGAACAGCAGGATTGATATCACCATAATCACTGCTACTTGCAAAAAATGAGACCTTCAGCTTTTTGGACTGTTGATCTCCATCCTCACAAGGAAAAGAATGAACTTTGTTTCCAGATCCAATTGTAAGAGAAAACTTATCATTTGAATCATATATCAAATTAGCATGTTCTCTTGCGAGCATCATCAGGGACAGAGCCGCATTCACTTCCTCCTCGCAGTTCTCAAAGGAGAAATCAAAAATTGATGCATTTGCAACCTTTGGTGCACTCCCCCTCCTCTTCTTCTTCACAGGCATTGAATACATACTCAACTTACTATAAGGTTGGCCCGACATTTCCTTCTCTTCATAAGTTCCCCTGCTCCGTAAATCATCATCGTTGTCCCCATGAATGAGCTCTTCCCTGGTCATTCCAAACGAAGCATTCAATGAAGAGGAATCCTTCTCTAGCTTGGCACGTTTCTTATCCTTAATAGTCTCCGGCCACTCTATCTCAAACCGTTGCGACTTCTTTGGATTGATTCTAAGGTCATGTCCAGCCAACGGCTTGTCCTCATCCTTCATGGAAGGGCTCAGCACAACATGAGACCACAAGTGAACTTCAAGAGATCTCCCATCGGAGAAGCCTTGCCTGCATATTCGACAAATGTGCTTCTCCATAGAAACAAACAGAATGAATGATTAAAAATTGGAGAGGTTAGGAATCAGAATATAAGAGAATCGAGAACACAAAGTGCCGTGTCAGGATTACGCCTTGTGATCCTCCGGATTAATGCTGCTGAACTGATCTTGTATTCTGGATCTGAAAAGAAGCAATCTTGGATCGATCCTCTACTTTTTCGCTCTGCTTTCCTCAGCAATGGAGCTTCTTTCTTTTGTGGGCGAGGCAAAATCCATGCTGGGAAGCAAGTTTATAAGGAGAATAGGAGGAGGTCATGAACAGCAGAGCGTACTGCAGGTGTCGCGAGCACAGGTGCTTATTACTCGATTGCACGGTTTTGATTATGCCATGTGGCTTGCCAAACTTAGCTACAAACTGTTAGCGAAGAAGGGTCTTCTTTGACCAGCCCATCTTTTTTTATCTATTTAATTATTTATTTTTATTTTTATTGCTAAAAAAAGGGGAGCCGAGAACTGCCTTCTCGTTTTGGAGCCAGTGGATCATAACGAATTAACAAAATCCAATTTGATTTTTTGAAAATTATAATTGCAGAAAAATATGTCAAAATTAAATTATATTAATGTATTTATCTGATTCTTAGAGAGCTTTTAGTTCTCTATTTTATATAAAATAATATTATTGATTTAATCCCGAGCTATATAAATAAATAATATCATTTTAAAATAGGCAAAAACAATTACATTTGCATGCATGCTACTCAATTCTTACATACATACAAATCTAACATTTAAATTTTCATGTTTAAATGCATAACACTCAAATGCTTATTATCCATCTGTAATAATAATATTTGATACGTCACGAATAAATTTTCATCATTCAGCATGAATCTCGAGGCATAACATAATTCTCAAGATGGTATTTTAAGTAAGAAATATTTAAATCTTGATAAAAATTTATGCAGAGCTCTGATTTCAGAGCTCTAATTTATGCAGAGCTCTGATTTCAGCAAACTTATAGTCAAACCGACCGACTCGATGAGATGAATCTAATGATATGAAAACTAGTCCAATCTGAGTCCAATCAAGCTCAGATCAAGTCATTAAACCACCCTTGAAAGATTTCTTGACATATTTGGAAGATCAAACAGATGTTGACACTGACAAGTTTATACTCGAATCGAGCGGCCCGACAAGACGAATCCAATGAGCACATGATCATTCAATTCCAACATCGTTAAGATACTCAAATGTCCATTAAATGCGGCATGATCGGAGAAAACTCTCTGGACCATCCGATCATAATCGTTGATATTACTGCATTAATTACATTCAAAACACTATAAATTGACCGACACCCCTCACATCAAGAAGAGCTGAAGTCTAGAGAGAGAGTCTAAGGCCTCGAGGAGAAGCTGCGGCTCAACACCACTGTCGACTGCCTCAACCATCGCCGACCATCGTCGACCACCACCGACCATTGTCGACCTCTAAGAACCGTCATCCACTACCACTAACCACCTTCGATCACCACCAATCAGACGACGTCAGTCGATGTTGTAATCTAAAAAAATATAGTTATCATTTCCCGTCTGTAAGACAAGGAATTCATGTAATAAACAACCAATAGTAAATTTCCGCAACTTGGTCAGACCCCGTATTTTTTCCCTTACGGGTTTTCCACATAAAAACTTCTGGAGTCATCACGGCTTGTTTCTCTTTCATCTGTGTGTGCGTTAAACTTTCGTACTACGCTAAGACGATAGTCCATTACTCTACCGCCGCGAAGTTTTTAGCACGCAACAATATTAAAATTTTTTTTAATACACCGATTCATATATAAGTTTATAAGGTCATTGTTGTGAATATAAAAATAAAAGAATTTTGTGGTATATTTGTAAATACTTAATATTTTTATTACTTTTCTCTTGAGACTTAAAAATACGATGAGTTACTCTGACCACATTTCCTTATTAAATGATTTGTAAAAGGAAAATCATAAAATCCTTGCTTCTTCGCATGTTTTTGTTTGCATTAAAAATGGAAGGAAGATTTGCTTACATACCCTTCAATTCTTATGTATTTACAGATCCAACCCCTAAACTTCAATGTTTACTTCAATGTTTACATATATATATATATATACATATATATATATAT